AACAAGAAAAAGCTGACAAGAGTTTGAAATATGTGACTTAACAAATGTTTAAAGACGTGTGTTAGTAGAAAATTGCACAAAACACACTTGTTATAAACTATCGACTATTACTGTCGTTACCCTCAGAACTGTGACTACCTGCACAGCTTTCATGTTGTCATTAGCCTTTTTTCCCTGCTAAGCCACAAGGGAGCACCCTTCAGCTTTACAAGCTAAAGCAGCATCAACGATTAGGCCATCGAACCAGACTCCTGCTCCTGCTTCCAGACAAGCTGCTAACATTAGGGCCAGTTCATGCTTTCCTTGTCAGTGTGTGCTCTCTAATGAGGATTTTAAAAGTGGACTGCGGACACATATGCAGTTCTCTTTATAATACAGTAGGTATACGCTGATGGTCACAATGCCTCTCATATCAAACACAGTAAAACAAACAGGGCAGTTTTATTGGACATAGTAGCTACTTACAGATTGGGCTGTAGCAGTGTGTTTTTCTTAGGTGTATTGAGTACAGGATTTCTGGAGAATTTCGAACTTCCTACTGTGTGTTTGGGCTCCATTAATGGAGAACGTGTGCAAATCAAAGCTCCTTCAAAGTATGGCAGCCACTACTTCAAGTACAATGGTAAAGTATAAGGTGTGGGCTGTCCAGGAATCTCCTTACACAGTCTCCTTATAACAGGCATTTGTTTTGAGCACCATTTGTTTATTGCACATGCACTGCTGACATGCTTGCAATGTGGACAGTCACAGACTTTGGGCTTTTGGAGGACCCTGGCAGATTTTGATGGATGATGAATTTTACATAAGATGTTTCCTCGCAATTCCGGAAAGAACAAATTGGTATTTAGTGAGACACACAGGGTGCATTTTACATAACAACAAGGAAACTTGGCACCTCTTGATTGAATGTCTACATGAGAGTTGACGGGCAAGTTTTTGCCTTTGTGTTGTGCAGGCAAACGGTAACCAGAAGTTTCAATCTGACTCCTGCACAGTCCAACTTGGAAAAGATACATTCATTAGCGCAACGTTTCATGCTCAACTTTTATTAAGAATGTTTGATAAATTCATTGTCAAAGAGCCATAGATGCAATACTTTGATTAGACCTCAGCTTTATATGTTGAAATCATGAAATAGACACTTGTACAGGAAGATTGTGCCTTTTCATAATGTCATGTTTTTCCGTCAGTCATTTATCACATCAAGGAATTTAATTATACTCACTTGTTCCTTTTGGCAGGCTCACTCTCGCTTGTGGTGGCATTGCCATGAATTCAGTTGATGACCTTACACCTGAGTGCTTAGGAGAGGCTGGGCTGGTTTATGAACACACGCTGGTGAGTATCTGTGTTCTGGGTATGTTCGTTGACTCTTATGCTTAAAAAAACAAATGTTAAATAATCATCATGACTTGCTTTAAGGGTACAGAGATGATATATTTTGTATTTAGGCAGGATTTATAATTGTCTCCGATGCTGTTTGCAGGGAGAGGAGAAGTACACATTTATTGAGAAGTGTGGAAATCCTCGCTCCGTTACCCTGCTGGTGAAGGGACCCAACAAACACACCCTTACACAGATCAAAGATGCAGTAAGGGATGGTCTGCGGGCTGTCAAGAACGCCATTGAAGATGGTAAGACACTTTAAATGGGTGTGCTTCTGTTTTATTTACCTTTTTCAATGGCTTAAATAGAACATTTTATTGGAACATGCTTGAAAATCCAGCATTGGTTTGTTTTCCCACCAGTGTTCCTAATTGAAATCTTATTCAGGGTCCTCAGTAGTCTTGACATAATCTTTTTTCCCTCTTACTGCAATGTGCTTGATAACATTTAGTGGTTCATAAAAACAAACCCCGTTTTTAAAATTGTAAATTATTGTCATCAATTGTTGTCAAATCATCTGTAGGTAGGTTTTATAGCCCGAAGTGACCCTGTGAAGCCCTTTGAGACTTGTTGATCCAAATCTTATGTCAAAGGTCTTTAAATGCACTCAACCAGTTTTTACTCGTGCATGTCCACAAACTCATTTGAGCACACGTTCTCTTTATGCAGCTTATCTTTAATTTAGATCAAAATAAAAGACTGCTAAATGCAATTTTGGTCATATTAAGTGTTTTAGGTGAAATGTAGTTTTGTCTCATTTGCACAGCGAACACCCAGAGATGCTAACATGGCTCTCTCTGGCCTCTAATGTCTGTGCTACAGTAACTCTGGTCTTTTCCTCTGCATTAGGAGAGTTTTGTCTCTCCTACATGTATTCAGTTGATCAGAACAAAGTCCTCAAATGTTTCTTTTGGCCAGTAATTCATTTTGTTTTAAACACTGAGGTGATGCAGTTATACTAAATATCATTCTATTTCCGTCTCTTTAGGAAGTGTTGTGTCCGGTGCAGGTGCATTCGAGGTTGCTGTGGCAGACGCTCTGGTAAAACACAAGCCCAATGTGAAAGGCAGAGCTCAGCTGGGAGTCCAGGCTTTTGCAGATGCTCTTCTAGTCATCCCCAAGGTGAGGGATTTTTACTTTTATCGTTTGGTGAAGTTGGGCATTACAGAAAATTCTTGCTCTTGTATTGCACTACCAGTATTATTTGTTGTCCTCAGGCAGAAGTTTCAATAGAAAGGAAAATTGTAAAACCGATGTGCTTCCTGCGTCTCCCTTTGCAGGTTTTGGCCCAGAACTCTGGCTACGACCCACAGGAGACCCTGCTAAAGCTGCAGACAGAGTACAAAGAATCTGGTCAGCTAGTCGGAGTTGACCTCAGCACAGGTCAGAATTACAAAGTGCAAAATGTTTTTAGGCTTTTTTACACTCAACAATATGCAGGTGCTCACACCATTACACACTGCAAAAATGTACAGTCACATGCTTGTTTTTTTTTTGTTTGTTTGTTTGTTTTAACGTCAATCCTGTTGTTTTTCAGGGGAACCAATGGTGGCAGGAGAAGCTGGTGTATGGGATAATTACAGTGTCAAGAAGCAGCTTCTCCATTCATGGTAAGTTTTTTCATTTCTAAATTATACAAGACCAGTGGAATGTTTTTAAAAATTTTCCTCAACATTCTCCTCACATTGCTTTGTATTTCTTCACAGCACGGTAATCGCCAGCAACATCTTGTTGGTGGATGAGATCATGCGAGCTGGAATGTCTTCTCTCAAAGGTTAAAGGTCACGTGAAGAAGCTGCAGCTGTTCTCATGCTCACAGGGATAGTTGTTTACCTGATGGTTCAGTCAACGTGTTCCTGCTCCCGGCACTCTGAAGCACCCCAGTCTGATGGACAGTCCGCTATAAACATCCTCGGCATCCATCACAGCGTCTGTCAGAAATCATTGTTATGCTAGTCATGGATTTTTTTTTTTCATGGATTTGTCAATGCGTCCCTCTAAAATGATTGGTTTATTTATGAGATTTTGTTAAAAGCACTGACCTCTGCCACTCAGTTTTGTTTCTGCCCATTAAAGGTTTTCTCAGCTGTTGAAAAGATTTCGTTGTATTTCTCTGAAGAGTGAATGTATTTGCAAAATAAAAGTAAAACTGGGTGCCCTTTTGACTTAATGTGTGAATGCTGTGAACCACATCTGGATGAAGGTATACAAACAGTTATGTACGAACGCCAGTGAAATGTTGCTTATGTACAGTCACATAAATGTGGTTCAGTTTTCTGGTACCCCACAGTGAAATATTGGTACTAATCTTCTACTCTAAAAAGCCCTGGCTGTGGTTTGAGGATTTTGCACAAACAGAGGCTCATGTAATATGCACTGTTAAAAACTGCAGAGGTGCTAAACTTATTGCCAGAAAAATTAAAATGAAGTTCTCCCACACACAGACTGATGAAAATTGTAATAATTGAATATTTCAGCAGTGAACATTACACAAACTCAAGGTCCCACTGTAATGTCAGTCTTACCCCAGAAAGGCAAAATACAGAGGTGGAAAGAAACTAAGCACATTTATTAAAGCTATGTGCTAAAGTATGGTTTTGAGGTACCTGTACTTTACTTGAGTATTTCTGTTTTAAGCTACTTTATTCTTCAAATACACTACATATTGGGAAGAAACATTCTAGTTTCTACCTCGCCTGAGTTTGACAGCTTTAGTTACTTTTAATATGAAGATTGTACACAATGGATAATAACGCAAGTATTTAAAATACTGCACATTGTTAAAGATTAAACCAGCATTTTCAGAATATTTGGCTTTTTACAAGAAACAATGTATATTTAGGATAATTTAAATGCTTATGAGTTGCTAACAGTGCCACCAAATTGTGTGTGTGTTTTGTTTGTTTTACCTTTAAACTTCTCACATTTGCTTGTTTCAAGAAATGTTAAAAAATTCTAAAATCTATCTAAAAATCAAATATTAGAGGAAAAATACCGAAAATTGAAGATTTGTGCATCAGAACTTCTTTCTTTCCTCTCTCATAATCATGTGAGGAGCCCTCAGATTTATCAGCTGCTCCTGTATATAAAACTGAAAAAAGTAGCTCAAATAGTGGGAAAAAAAGGTTCAGTAACACGCTGCTCTTACAAATTATCTAATTTTGTCATGTATAGTAGTATACCAAAGGAATCAAGTCAGTATTTTTACTTTCAGACTTTAACTAAAGTTTGCTGTTAATACATCTGTTTTTCTTTATTTCTTTATTTTACTTAAATACCATTTTTAATGTAGAACTTTTACTCAATATACAGTATTCTTAAAATGCTGTATTTGTAATTTTAAATAAAGGATCGGAATACTTTTGTACCACTGTCAACGTATACAACTGTCCTATAGTTTTCCTCAAATACTTCAGCAGAACTTCTCAGTTTTTTTCCACATGAAAACGTTGATTAAATTTAGCGTAAATCAACAGCTTTGTGTAGTATAAAGCACAACCACACAAGTTGTCGTTCACGGAGAGAAAAAATGAATAATCACTTGTTAGAAGTTTAAAGCGGAACTTTGTTTTACACGGAACCTCTTTGTGGTTGAACCGTTGTAACGGTGAAATGTGTCCGACTGAAACGACCAAAATGTTGCCAGAAAGTGGAAGTTTAGAAGTTCTGCTGTTGAAATGAGTTACATGTGAAACATGTGTATTTCAATTTAAGCGTAATTTCAGATGAATGTTAGCATAAAAACTACGAACGTTAAAATGGCGTCCTGGATGTTTGCTGTGTTTTTGCTGTCAGTGGCGGGTAAGAGCTCTTTTTCATTTCTGCACATGCTAAAAATATATATGAACATTGTATTAAAATGCCTGAGGCGGGTTTAATCCCGACAGCCGCGGAGGAGATGCTGAACATCCCCGGAGGAAAGATGCTGATGGGAACCAGTGCAGCCGACGGCAGAGATGGAGAGTCTCCCCCCAAGGAGGTTCAGCTGCAGCCCTTCAAAATAGACAAATACCCAGTGACAAATGCTGACTTCAGGTAGTGACACTTCAAACCCTGATGGTATAGAGTGGAAACAATAATAGTACAAAGCCGCTGATTTGGTTTTCATTTCACAGAGACTTTGTGAGAGCACAGAAGTACAAAACTGAAGCTGAGACATTTGGCTGGAGTTTTGTGTTTCAAGACTTTGTGTCAGATGAGCTGAAGAAGAAGGTCACTCAGAGGATTGAGGTACTGGGATTCAGAGTTTTCATTTTGAAAATAATAAATGAGATGAGTTTATTGATAGCCTTATATCAGTTATCCCTTAATTTCATCATTTAAAGCGTCAAACATTCACTATTGAAGATGTGCTGTGGTGTCTTGTTTTACATTAATGCTACTGAATATTTAGAGTTTTGAACTTAAGTAAATAATTAAAGAAATACTGCACAGTCTTTTATTCTTTACTCTATTTTTGACAGTATGTCTGTGTAGATTCTCAGTAACACTGGTGATGATAATACTAAGTGTGTCACTAGAAAGCACCTGGACTCTGATTTTGTGCAGGTCTTTTGTTAGTTTGTTTGTTTTTGGTTCTTGAAGATGTTGGTAAGTTCTGATGAGTGGGGTGTCCCAGGTATTTATTGTCACCCCCAAATCACATGACAGAAATCTTCACATTCTGGACAGAGAAGAAGAATAGGTAGAGAGAAGAGTGGAGGGAAAAACTGAAGAGCGGGTCTCCAACACCACTTATCAGTTACTTATGATGCAGTCTTGAGATCCCTACTCTGTTTTACCACCATTAACACTTTGAATCATCCCTCTGCAGGCTGCTTCACAAACATTCACACCTCTAGGCTTATGAGTCATGGGTTGTGAATGGTCCTTTAGCCTTGGGATTTGGGGATGAGAATAAACATGTGAGACTCTCCCTTCCACTGAAGCACTTAGGATTCTTTAACAGTTTAAGTAATAATAAAAAGGTCTGCCACACATACTATTCAACCGCAGAGCAATTATTAGACTTTATGGATACCAACTGCCGTTTTAACTGTCTTGTGAGTAACTTTTGACTTATTTTTCCATCTTTTCCGTCCAGTCTGCTCCCTGGTGGTTGCCCATAGAGCGAGTGTTTTGGAGACAGGTGAGGCTGTGGGTTTTATGTATTGCAGTTGTGCTGACCTACTTCTTAGTTTATTCAAGACACCCATGGTTAGAGTTTGGAACAGCCCTCCACCATCTGATCTGGGGCTAACTGGATTAGTAGTGCATATACAAGGTGTGTCAGAAAAGTTCCAGGACTGGTGTCACAAAAGATATATTTCAAATTCAAACTACAAACTACAAGTTTTCCCCTTCGAAGTAATCCCCCAGGAGTCTAACACACTTCCCCAGCCTTCTCTGCCATGCCGTCATGTACTCCTGGAGAATTCTTTCAGGATCCTCCCCAGCTCCGTCGTCACAGCCATCTTGATGTCGTCCACATCTTCATAACAGGTCCCCTTGATGACCCGCTTGAGCTTGGGGAAAAGGAAAAAATCCCACGGAGCCAGGTGGGGTGAGTAGGGAGGTTGCTCCAGCATGGCGATGTTCTTCTCAGCCAGGACCTTACAAATGTTCAGGGCATTGTGAGCAGGCTTGTTGTCATGGGTTTGAAATATATCTTTTGTGACACCAGTCCTTGAACTTTTCTGACACACCTCTTAAGTGTCAGACCCAGTCAACTGATTCTTCAGTTTTTTCTCTTTCCCCCTCAACTCCTGCTCATGTCTCCCTCATCCAGTCACACACCACACTGACTGATTTCCACATTTAAATGATGGTTGATTTGTGTGGAGCCATTTTTTTTTTTTTTTTTACCACAGTCAGGTGGTGGAGTTTCCTTACCTGCTTCCATTACCAGTGCAGACACAACTCAGGAAGGTCATCACAATGTCTTTTCCACTCTTTGTTTATATCTCTTAACTTACCAGCCATTTTCTCCTCCACTGTTCAGCCTGCAGGACCTGGTTCAGGCATTCGGGAGCGCCTGGACTTCCCGGTGGTTCAGGTGAGCTGGAACGATGCTCAGGCCTTCTGCCTGTGGAAGGGCAAGAGGCTGCCGACGGAGGAGGAGTGGGAGTGGGCTGCACGTGGGGGGCTGCAAGGTACGGCCCAAATTCACACACTGAAAGCGCAGCACATTTACAGTACATTACCTTATAATAGATTTTTTTAATGGTTTGTTCATATCTACTCTGATTGACAACATTTAGCAAAGTGAGTACTGTGTTTTATTTTACACTGATGTTTCTGGTGAGCTATTTTCTTAATAAAAAGAGGAACCGGAAAGTACATTTTAGGCAGCGTTTAAAATAGATATAGTACACATGACAAGTGTCTTCATGAAAGAGGGGAAACTACTTTGTACTACTGAGTGTAATTTTATTGTTTACTGCCTGTTATGCTCCAGGTCGGACTTATCCGTGGGGAAACAAGTTCCAGGCCAACAGAACCAACCTGTGGCAGGTCAGTCTACTGTAATGAAGCACACTGCAGCAATATAAGCACAGTTTGCTGTTCTTATACAACGCTTTGAAGAGGAGTCTGATATGAAAGATTTCCACTTATTTCTCCATACTTTCTTAGGATAAATGTGGGACAAAATGGTTAAGATAATTAAGACCTACCTATCTATGAGGATAATATATGTTGTTTTTTATAACCTACAATGACTTTAGTGTATTTCTAGTTGGACAATTGTATTTAATGTGACCCTACTAGAAAATGTTGTAGTAACAATAATGGGTTGAAAGTAATGACTTTACTCTTTATTCCAGTGAATAATACCAGATAATGTGGAAAGACATTCAGGCTTTTGCAAGAAAAATCATGTTTATGTGAAAAACCATGCTGTGTAATAATGACCTGGTGTTGTTTCTGTATGTTTTAGGGATTGTTTCCAGATGGAGACACTGCAGAGGATGGTTACCATGGCATCTCTCCTGTCACAGCTTTTCCTCCCCAGAACGGCTATGGTAATTGTGCCTTAGTGGTAAAATATTAATGAGATGCTAGAAGTGCTGTATGGTAACCAAAGTGCCTTTAGTTGAAAGCAAAAGACAAGAAAAATATGTTGCAGAAATGTATGAAAACTTTGCTAACTTGAGTCTGAAGTCGCCTGCTGAGTTCGAAGCTTTGAGAAACATTTCATTCATCCTCTCATATCTCTGTGAGGTTAAAGAAAACTGAAACATTATGAAAGTTAATTGTTCCTTCTCATAATATTACAAGCACAATGTCGATTGTTCTTGCAGGGCTGTACGACATGATGGGAAACACGTGGGAGTGGACGTCCACACCATTTCCCGGAGCGAGGCCGATGTATGTGCTGCGTGGTGCCTCCTGGATCGACACGGTGGACGGTTCAGCTAATCACAAGGCTCGAATCACAACCAGGTGAGTTATTAGGGGGGGAAAAAAGTTTTTTCAGACTCTGGAGCCACAGAACTTCGGCACAGCTGTCTTGAATGACTGATGTTGTGATTCTGTGTCCTGCAGGATGGGCAACACTCCCGACTCTGCCTCTGATAACCTGGGGTTCAGATGTGTTGCCAGCGATGGACAGAAACAAGGGAAGAAAAAAGACAAAGCAGAACTATAGTACAAAGCAGTTAAAAAAAAAAAAAGTCAGCAAAGGATGGTACTGTTTTTTGAACCAGTAATGATTTATTTGAAATTAAAGTTGGCAATAAGAAAATGTAAGGGATCAACTAGAAATGAATTACTATGAACAAGTGAGTGCAGAAGTTAACTGTATGTCTCCTGTGGAGAACTTTGACTTTTACTTGATTTTTAAAAAGAATTTGCTAAAGAATAAAAGCAAACCTTGTAATCCATAAATTTTAAGAAATAAATGGTTTTCATTAAAAAATACTTTCTAGTCTTTGTCATTTCTATAAGTGCACATCCCAAAAGAACAAGCCCATCTAGAGAGACTTGATTAAATGTCTCATTGAATTTATTCACTGAATGGGAGAAATGGGACATTCTTTGCCTGCCAGCATTGATAGTCTTCCTTCTACACACTGGGTGATCTGTCTTTTGATGGGTGTTTTTATGTGACTGGAGAGTAAATCAGTTCTTTAGTTTTGTCGCTTCGCTTCTTTAATCCTGTCTTTGGCTTTTTGTTTACTTTCTCATGGTGAGTAGTCGATTGATTGGACTCATTCTGTTACATAAAACATTTTATCCAAACTCCAGTTTTAAGCTTCAAGTAAAGCCAAATCTTCTGTCTGTTGCTTTTTAATTGCCACACAAACAGACATTGTGTGACAATTGAGTGAAACATACTTTCACAGAAGTTGTTGTTTTTTATTGCTAAATATGTTGATAAAGCAAAATATAAGCTAAAACCTTTATTCTCATAATATTAATGCAGTTTTAAAATAGATTAACTAGAACTTAACAGTTTGCAAATCATGCAGATGTAAGTAAATCTACTTTAAGTCAACCCATTTTTCAAGAAGTCGTTCATCTGAACAGCCTCATATTTTCACTGAGCATCTCCAGAGTTCATGTGTGAAGTCTATGCAGAGTTTCTGCAGAGATACAAACTCCTGCATTGGTCTAATGATGTAAAACAATTGTGTAAAACATCAGTTTACATTTTGAGATCAAATTTTTATAGATTTTTCATTTTTTTGGTCTGGCAGCAAAGTGCACAGTTGTGGCTTTCTTTCAGATGACATAGTTGCATGTGATTTAGTTTTTTATTTTTTTGAAGAAAAGTTGACAATAAGCATATATTTGAATTCAAATGTAAAATTACAAATGTTGACAAACGTATGCTGTTGTTCCTTCCCTGAAGTTTCTGGCATGGTGAAAACAAAGGTTGTATAGGAGTAGGACTTCATATGGTCATAAAATGAAGAATAAATAAATAAATAAGTCAGAGCTGCAGGGTGGAGCGGTGGTTAGCACTGTTGCCTCGCAGCTAGAAGGTCGCCGGTTGACGCGTCCCAGTGAGAACACCCGGAA